ACCCCAGCAGGTCAAGGCTGTGGTGGCCGGGAGCGGCCACTGCACTCCAGTCTGGGCGACCGAGTGAGACTCCAACTCAAAAAAAAAAAAAATTACTGCTATTAAAGATGCACCCTGTAAACTGGGTCGCTTGGCCCACAAAGCAATGTGGCGAAATGCTTATAACAGAATTTAAGTGAAAAAAAAAGCCAAATTTGTTGTCTATGCTAGTATGACGAATATGAAAAACAAAAATTATCTATAGGACATGACCTGAAAGAGAACATGGAAAAATAATAGTGAATGAAGTATCAACTACAAGTGCTGTCTTCATTTCAAAATGATGTTATTGTTGGATGTCAGGTGGTACACATCAGGTCCACAGGGAAAACAGCATCCTTGACAATTAATTCTCTTGGTTGTATTAGAAGCAGGTGGAATTTAACATGTCCAAAATCGAGCTTCTGATTTTCTTCCCCAAACCTTCTTTTCCTACAGTCTTTTCCATCCCATAAATAGAAACTCCACTTTTCTGGTTACTCTGGCCATAAATGTTAGTACTGATACCTCTGGTCTAATCTGTCAGCATATACTATAAGCCCTACTTTTAGAAACATATCTAGAACCTGCTTCTCCCCACTTCTCAGTACTGCCATTTCTCCACGGAATTACTGTAGTAGCCTCGTAACTGATCTGTTTTCTGCCCTTGCTGTTCGGTGGGTTCTCAGCAGTTACTAAAGAGATCATTTTAAGTCAGCCTCTGTCACATCTGTGCTGAAAACACTCCATCCAATGAATTTGTTGTTGCTGTTATCTCTACTTTGTGTTAAGCTTGAAGTGTTTTCATAATAACTGGTTTTTAAAAACATCTGAATTGGTTTCCTCACTTACCCAGAGTAAGAGCATTCAAGCCCTGCTTGAGCAGCTCCACTGAAGTGGAGCTACTTCCCTGCTCTGTTTGCTCCAGCTGTGTTGGCCTCCTTGCAGGTCCTCATATTCCCAGAGCCCTTGCTCTTCCTTAGATAGCAGTGTGGCTCTTCCAATCACTTTTCTTTTTCTTTTTTTGAGTCAGGTCTCCCTCTGTGGCCCAGGCTAGAGTACAATAGCACAACCACTGCTCACTGTAGCCTAGACTTCCTAGACTCAAGCAATCCTCCTGCTTCAGCCTCCCAAGTAGATGGGACTACAGGTATGCACCCCCATGCCTGGCTAATTTTTTTATTTTTTTGTAGACACGGGTCCCACTGTGTTGCCCAGGCTTCTTTCCCTCACTTTCTTCTTCCTTTGCAACTCTTCTAAAACAGCAAGTTCCTCCCTCCTTTTCTGTCGTCTCACTCTGCCTCAGTTTTCTTCAGAACACTTCTTAGATGTAGTTGGACATTTTACGTAACTGTTTATTGTCTGACTCTCCCAGTGAGAATGTAAGTTTCACAAAAACAGCTATTTTGTTTGTTCATGGCTGTATACCTTTACATGTACCTGATGTTTAATAAATATTCGTTAAATGTACTCAGTGATCTATCACAGAATCAAAGAACAGAGTACCATATGTTCTCACTCATGGTGGACCTTGAACAATTATAATACTATAAGAGAGGGATTGGCAGTAGTGGGAAACTGTGGGGGGGGGGTGTGAAGGGAGGGGCACACCTCATCAACAAGGATACTGCATAATGAACATTTGTATACCTAAACTTGAATTGCACCCCACATGCTTACAATATAAATAAATAAACATTCATTCGTTGAATGAATGAATGAAATCAAGTAAACAGAAATCAGGGTGAATTACAAGGGACAAGAAAAGAAAAACCAGAGGCTTATTAATAATGAGTTTCGATGTTACTTTTTGTGTATCATCCATGCAGTAATTTGCAATAAAGGACTTGTAAGCTGCTTCAGGAAATAAATCTATTGACATCAAGCATACCCTTGAATAAACTTTCTTCACGTGGACTTAAACACTTAGTCTCAAAGGCATTTATATGCAGTTGCTTCAAAGGGCGT